GCGTTGTCGTTCCGCTTCTTGGGCCACGTTCGCGGCTCGATGCTGACGCCTCATCTCGGCCTCGCGAGCGCGCAGTTCACCATCCGCTGCACGCTTCGCCCGCTTGTCCTCGGCCTCGCAAGCGCGCAGTTCGGCATCCCCTGCACGCTTCGCCCGCTTGCACTCGGCCTCGCGAGCACGCAGTTCGGCATCCGCTGCACGCTTCGCCCGCTTACGTTCGGTCTCACGAGCCCTTCGCAGTGCCGCCTTGTCTTCCAACCTCGGCGAGACCACCGCGGTACCGTCACCTCCAACGACGGGTGCAGTGCTGGCATTCGGTTGTACTGCATTCGTTGTTGATGGTAGCGTTGCCTCCAGGACATCCATCGCACGACCTGCTCTCGACGGGAGACTGAGAGAGAAGGCGGGCGCGCGAGAGAGGGGTGCGCGCGCAGCTGCAGCGAGCGAGGAGAGCGGACGAGCGAACGAAGGGGGAGGGGGTATAAGGCGCGTTACTGACACCGATATCAGCGTCGCGTCCGTGGCTTATTCGGTAGAGCGTCGCACTGCGGCCCGCCAAGTCCTCTTTCTTTTAAAGATAGAGAGAAGACTGCGGACGCCGCCGACGGCGGTGGATGATTTGGGGTCGCTTATAAAGTGTATTCGCACTTAAAACACCGCGTGCAAGCGCCGCCTTTCACTGAACATTTCAGCAGTGCAGCGACGTCAGCGTGATTGTCGTGCGCTCATTTTGCAAACTTAGCACGTGCCTCCCACAGACGTGGGCGTATGTCCTCTTTCGCACAGGTTCTTTCGTTCCACCTGCAGCGTAGAAATTTCCACTCTTGAAGGCAAGGAGGGTGTACACGCCACACTCTCGTGCCGCTCGTTTTGCTTCATCAAGTATTAAAGATAAATACAGAGACAGTGGTCACCAGGGGCGCTCGCATTGTGGTGGCAATAGGTGGCAACGCGGCTCTGAATGGCCAAGTCGTGAGCGCGCTGAAATTCAATACAAAACATTGTAGCCGCGTTGTGATATAACTTTTACTTCTGCTTGCGTGTGTGCATAGCCTGCGCGATAAAGCTGATAGATTAATCGCGCCGCTAGACGTGAATACTGCTCCTCGGCATGAGAAAACATGGTGGGCGTGCCCGATCGTCACCACGGGCTTCTGTTAATCAAACTGATGGAAATGGGAACTCGGATGCAAGCTGATTGATTCCGTGGAGCCTCTAGTTTAACTCGTGACTGTGATGGTGCCGGTGTGACAGTCGAGCGTTTGATGTGGTGAATGCTAAGCAGCAGCTTCTTTACATATAAAATAAAAGGCGAGCTTACACTACTTCTGCAAGGCTGAAGCCACAGAGGAGTTTGTGATAACCTTGCTTCTTGCAAGTTTTTAAGTTAGTCGTCCCCTCATGTGCGTGGTCGGCTACGAACAGAAGACCACCTTAGCTCTGTCTTAATTTTATTGTACTAATTGACTGAGACCTAACGTTCATTACACTAAGCTGTCTTGCCTTCATTTATTAGGCATAATTAAAAGGCCATTTTCTCGAGAGCAATTACCGTGGCCACTATTAAACGTAACTCTGATTAGCAGAACACTAAATCTCATCATATTGCCACGTTCCATTTCTCAAGCTTTGTTATCGCCACAAAACACTACACAATTCTCAGCGCAAAACGCGCGCGCAGTTTTCGAGAAGCTTCCAGACTTTAGTAGATCTTTTCGATAAGATCACGCCCACGCTGCAAACTGTACAGATTATTCCGGAACCTACGCCACCGCTAGCGATAACGCTAGAACGTTTGATGGCAAGAGTATAAATGCCGACGCACTTCGCCGCTTGACAGTAGTTGATCCACGGCCAACGCTCCGTTCACTGCAATCTGTGCAAAACTTCTACTGTAATCGGAATTTCCGTTCGCTGGGCACCGGTTCGCTCAAATAAACTGTTAAATCCCAACACAAAGTATTCTGTCTTCGGCCACGTCACGACCCCGTGACAATATCAGTAAAGGCTGATTAGCATGGTTTTACTTAGCCTGCTCATGATCAACGTCGTGTTATTTATCATATTTTAGTTAGCTCCTCAACTTGCATGCTTTAGTTAGCCCGGTTCTAGCTTTAAACGGCTTCATTACACGGTCTTTTCAAGATGTGGCTTAATTACCTCAGCCTTACCAGGACATGGCGTAATTAGCTTGGTCATAGCATGTCCTTACCTATCTGCCATCCATCCGAAATACCGTCCTTCCGAAAAAAATTCCGCCATATCCACGAAGTGAATGATGATGAGTGGGCGAAGCTCCGGAGGTAAACCTTGGCGTCTTTCATCAACTACAAGTACCGCTTTCTAGTTTATAACATCTTGCATTTTTTCATCATCAGCTACAAGTACCACCATCTAGTAAACACTACAAGAACTAAACGAGAGGTGGCTACATATAGGAGACGGTACCGCCATCTTGTGAACACTGCAAGAACTAGAGGTGGCTACATACAGGGGACGGTACCGCCATCTAGTGAACACTGCAAGAACTAAGCTTGAGGTGGCTACATACAGGCTACAGGGGACGCACAGCCCACGCCCTAAGGAGCTTCGCCCCTAGAAAAAAACACAGCATATCCACGAAGTGAATAATGATAGGTGTGGCGAAGCTTCGGAGGGTTAACGATATAAACTGTGAATCGTCTGTCTGTCTGTCTGCCTTTCTGTCCGTCCGTCCGTCCGGCCGTCTGTTTAATTGTCTGTCCATCCGTCCTCATGTCCATCCATATACAGCTGCTTAGTGAGTCTTTAACTAGGTGGTCGCGTCCCACGAGCTAGAAGGGACAGACCCACGGCTGTAGGAGCTTCGGCCCTAACAGCTCATTTACCCGCCGCACGTGTTCGGTTGCTAGCGGGCGATGACAACAAAGACGACGCACACCAGCCGAGCAGCGCACTAGAATGTACAGGCTGACCGTGATGATTAACAGGTGGCCTCACGTTTAGCTGCGGTCGCGATGTTGTAAAACGCTCGGCCGGTACCTATCTCGGAGGCCACCTCGTTGATTATTCCGAAACAGACTTAGTGCAGGCAATAAATGCTTCAAAATTTTTTAAACACCCCGCTCTTCGAAAAAATATCACCAGGAACTGTTTCTGACAATTTTATTGCATGTGTGCACTTCTTCACTCAGTGGAAGGACATACAAATAAGAGAAGATGGCCCTGCTTTGAAAACACTGCCCAACTTAGTTGATCGTCCTTGACGCAATGACTGGTTCCATGGTGTATAATCAATGAAACGCAGCGCGCTGAGGGGTTGACTTGACTTTTTGGTACTGTTGGCTTGTTCTTAAGGGGCCAGAGCTCGGAAAGATGCCGAGTTTCGCGAAACTCGGGCGATCCTGCATACCGCCCCTGATCTCTGCACTTCCGCCCAATGTATCTGCCTTCGTGACTGTGGACTTCACCTGCTCTGAAAACGTTACGAGTAGCTGTTGTAATGGTGCACGCGCAGTCAGACTACATGTATGCATTTCATTTTACACAATAAACCCAACACTTGTTAGTTCAGTGCCTGTCCTTTGCTTTAGGGGTGAAGCTCTTGAAGCCATGGAGCTATCCACGAATGTCTGTGACCGGTTTGTAACCACCTAGTTTTATGACTCGCTCAGCAGGTGGCGCTTGTGTAAGTGACAGACAGACAGACATACGCACAGATAGACAGACAGGCAGAGATATGAACTAACGGACGGACGGACACAGACTGACAGTGGATGGACGCGTGGATGGACGGAAGCATGGACGCACGGACGGACACTTCGCCCCACTCATCGCTATTCACGCCATGGATATGCTGTGATATTTTTCTTGTTTTCGTGTCTATCTTTTTGCGTTGATTTACTAAGAATTTAGAGGGAGCATGCTTCGTGACTAGTAATATGTGAATTTGGCAATAACGGGTCGCGTCAATAGTCTAACGTGACTCTACGCCACATCTAAATTGTAAATTCAGCGGAAACATATCCTGTGACAAGTGGTGGGACTTAGGGTTACATGACTAGCGTTAGGTAAGCTTAGCGGGGGCATGTAACATCACTAGTCCTACGTAACATTGGCGGCAATATAACAGTTATACCATGCATATCCAACTAGCCCTACTTTCGATTCTGTTGGCAATATATTATAAGATCAGTGTACGTGAATCGGGCAGGAACATGTCGCACGAAGACCGTTAAACCTAATTTGTAGCACCACAAGCTGGACAAATCAGTGCATGCGTTGTGGGAGCAAAGCAGAACATGAGGAGGAAGACATACAGAGAGCGTGTTGGTTCATGACAATCGACGCTTCTGTTTACACTACTGTTGGTTGAGTGATATGTGGGTTTGCACGTCTCAAAACCACGATGAGACACGCGCGCCGTAGTAGAGGGCTCCCAAAACTTCGACTACCTAGGGTTTTTTGACGTGCACCCAGATTTGAGCACATAGGCCTACAGCGTTTTCGCCTCCATCAAAAATGCAGCCGCCGTAGCCGAAATTCGTTCCCGTGACCTGCGGGTAAGCAGCGGAAAACCTTAACAACTATAGAGCAGTGCGGCGGGGCTGTTTCCACTACTGGCGCTACGAAAAGCTTGAACAGCTCTCCTGATAGAACATAACTTACTAGACTGAGAGATGGTACAGGGATGCCCTACTAGCTGAAGGCAGAGGTATATTGAGAGTGGGGCAATCGCCTTTTTCCCGAAGCTTATGTCAACCTTCCCCGCTTCTTTCCACCTCCTATTGCAGATTGGGATGTATGTGCGGACCACTGTGAACATATTTGACAGTATTTCTGCTGTGATGGGGATCCTTTTATGATAGTAACTGCTAAATAGAAAAGGGTCAGTACACACACCCCTCCCGGCACGCCAGTTTTAACTGGATTCACCCTTGTCTCAAGATACTAACCATGACGCACAGCACTCCATCGAAGCTTACAGACTCTTTAAAGATCTCCAGCGAGACAGGACAAGGCTAGAGAGGGCCTTATTTTATTGAAAGACGCCCTTTTGGCACGTATAGTCGAGTACCTTCAGCCCATCATGAACTGTGGCCGGGCGGGGCTGTTATGCACACGCAGCTGTGGTGGTTCTTGCAGTAGCCCGTGCGTTCAGGGTGGTTTTCCCTGCACCTCTTTTTGCAGATGGAAACCTTTCCCCGCACACAAGCAAGGTCAGGAGGACCTGCGGCAAGTGGCAGAACTGACCTAACACAGTGGCAACATGTTTTGCCGTCACAAATTGTCAGTCGGAGCAAAGCAAGACCCCTGTGCATGAAGAACGCAATTCAAGGCCCTGGAAATTGCCGGTTATGCATCCCGTCAGGTAGCTTGATATGTCCTTAAGTTGATAATTTCCAGCGCCGTTACTATCATATTCGGCAAGTGACAGCAGGCACTGAATCACTGATACGGCATCACACGCGCTCCCACAAAACCCATATTCATCGCACCATTGATACAAAGGCAAGGAATCTCCACCTACAATCAGTCAATATTTAAATGATTGAAAGAGCGCATTAAGGCCTTTTTTCTTTTTTTGGACACATTATTAAAATTATTTTGTGACATTATTGCCAAAGAACGCTTACGGGGTGTTCCTTGTAGCAAGTGTAATATAAACGTCAAGCAAGTAAAGTGGACGAAAAGACAGCTTGTCGCTCCCAGGGACCTGCGACCTCCGAATTTGAAAGTAGCAGTTTTGGTCTCTGCCAACCGCGAAATTTTTGTTCATCCGCTTTACTTTCTCCACACATATGTCACGTGTACACTTGGTACAAATGACACCCTTTATCGAAGTAAACAGCGTGAAAAACGAAGACAGAGAAAAGTAAGGACACAAGCCGAGCACTGCGGCTGGTCTTGTGCGTTTCCTTTACTCTGTCTTTGTTTTAGTGAGGTTTACATCAACCAGCTATGCATCATTACCACCTTGCCCAGTTTCAATACTACTACGCACTTGATATCTTTATTGGCAATATTGTGTGTAAGTTCTCGTAATTCCGTCCATATAAAACATCCTGTCTGAGTAAGCGTGACTGCGAGTGCTAAAGGGTCTGTATATCACCTGGCTCAGCCACTAATACGCGCGAGCTCTCTTGAAAATTCGTAAAGATAAGGTTAGGAGCTGGGCCGAAGAGTAGAAACAAGTTATTGCGCACTGGACCTCCTGAAGAGTTAAAGTGGCGAAATAAAACTGCTCAACGTTGGCTCAAAATCGTGTTGGGACAAAGCTGATGCTGGCCGCACGGAGCCAAACAGAGACATACGGACGATGTATAAACAAGGTCATGTACTACTCATAATTCCTACACCGGCTGAAGTGCCATGCGTTGCATCTTCCAGAGATAGTAGTACCAAAGTTTCTTTTAGTAAATGTTGGAGAAAAAACTCTATGCTAAACCCTATGACATAGCCTTACGAACGCAATATGTCAATTTTGCGAAAATTGTAGTTCTTTCCGAGTCCGGTTGTTTAATGGAATACTGTCACAAAATTTTGTGGCCGAGATGGCCTGCGTAATCAATTCCCTGTGAACACGCGTACACCGTCTACGAAATATCGACAACGAATGTAGCTTCGAGGGAATTTTAAATTATTTCTGAACGTTTAGTGAGTGATCGACTACATCACGCTATTGACCCCCTCAAAGGGACCCTTGTGGACCTCCTACATTCCTCACGTGACCCGCGACAGCAAGTTGAAATGGCCTTATAGCCACCATTTTTTTGGTCGCGTTTCCTCCCAGCAGATTATCACGCAGCGGCTGCTCGTTTATCCGTAGCTGCGGCGCACGAGTGTTGTGTTTGATGATATTGCTGTCCCGTGTATTGGTCAAAGAAAATTCTTGGTGTGAAGCACGCGGAAGAGCATCACACTTCAGTATGCGGACATAGTCGAGCATTGCACCCGCTAGGCGATGATAGCTGCACCTTGTACCTTGTCGTTTTGGACGCCGAAATTTACACTTGTCGGTATTAACGAGCGTGTATATAATTATTGATGACGCGCTGCAGAAATTGTTGAGTCGTGTTATCCCTAACAGGCCCCAAGGAACGCACTGGAACAAAAAGAAACGCGAGGCCAACACATTTGTCTTAGTATCCCTTTACAATGCAGATGAACTAGTAAAGGCGAAACCGCGGAGACGTGATCGCGAAGCAGAATAGTCTGACAGCTAGAGGAGAACTTGGAGTCATCACCACTTTTCTTCTCCTTCAAATTTTCGGTTGCTCCTGTGCGATACGTCACAAAGGGGTATGACTTCCTCGTCACGTGCTCGCGTAAGACATCGTGACGTTTTCACGGCCGCTGCGAATCGGACTGTATTCACATCGCAGAAGCAGCAGTTTGGAAGTTTCGATGCATGACGCCATTACAACTAGCCAGAGTGCTGTGTGAGGTCACCAGAACTAGTACTTCAGTGTGATGTCAAGGTAGTGTTGATGTTGGAGGGTTCGCTTTATTATAAAGATAAAATGTCTTATCAGCATTTGCTGAGATACGCACTTGCTCATAACTCTCTCTGTATACAAGATATTTGTGTGGCAATGCAAACACACCTCCGAAGAAAGCCATTCGCCCCCGCGGACAGCCGTCTGTACCCATAGATGTAGCACTACTTCCATGCATGTTGCTCTGCTACGTTACGTGGAAGATATGAGATGGGTTCATGTAAAGTAAATAACAAAGAATGCCCAAAACGGCGTGAGGGCAGCGTGCTCATAAAAGTCGCTTAGTGCCGTTCCAGGCAGGGACTCACCTTTATTCTGGTGGGCTTCCTCGCTCATGACGGCCGTTACCCATCCTGAAATGAAATTTCGTTTTGAAAGTATACTTTCACTGAAATAATAACAACGCATGCTGAAGAAATCAAATACCTTTCCTAAGAAATCATTGTTTCGCCTTCACATTGATGTTTTCTCTTTTTAGTTTTTGACCATTTTTATAGCAACTGCTATTTTGTTTTCGCTCTTTTTGTGCTGTGAATTTCGTTTTTGCCTTTCCAACATATAATTCACATAAAATTGTTTTATTAAGCATCATTCTTTAGCATTCTGTACTGTTCGTATATTTTTCCTTTTTAAAACAGGTTCGAAAGTTCTTTATTATTTTTTCTTAGTTTCATTAATTTATTCTTCCAATGTAGTGTTTCCAATATGCTTTTTTTTATCGCCACTTGTCTGCCTTGTACTAAATCAATAAAATATATTTAGGAAGGTCCCTCTGACAGTGTCTCTTAAGGGCATCCTCCTGTAATATTTATCAACCATGTTACTTGTATTTTCATGATGTTACAATCAAATTCAAACTTCAAACATCAGAACCTTTCATAGAAGTCCATCATCAAAAGGAAAAAAAAACGCCCGGCTTGCGTGGAAGGCGCCGCACAGTCACAGCGAAAACTGAAAGAGCAGCCTATTTGGCTAACTGCTGCAAGCACACTTGCTCTACACCAACTACGGCATTACGGCATTAATAATAAATTTTTCGGGTAGTAGGCTGGCAATCGCTATGCTATTTCTCGTCATTCTTCTCAGAAGCATGGTATCCGCTAAACACTTTCAATGAATTTCATGCCAATCGTTCATGCAGTGGGTGACCACGATGAGGAATTATGCCTGATGTGGGTATGACCACAGTTAATAGGTGAACAAGAACAAGCTTTTGTAATGGGTTGGAGCATTGGACAACCCACTCGTTACGCTATTCGCAATTCCCGACAACTTGTTCTTTCGCTGTAATAATACGCTTTATAAGTCGCATTAACGCGATTGCTTTCCTGAAATCAAGCCTGCCTACGGCAAGTTTGCCAACAAGTCACAAGCACCGACGTGCTCCAGCACTCTTGTCATCGCGACTAAGCCCGGTACGATCGCATGAATTAGCCACACTAGAAATCGCCCATGTGCACAATATTACGGTCAGGATCTAGCAAAGTAGCCAAATTTTTGAAGAAGCTGGTGCACCGTGGTGCATCGCTAAATGAATACGGAACTAGTTCTTATAAGATTGCTGAATAACCTGCCTTGGTATTATCACGCCCAAGGCAGTACCCATATGCGCCTTGATCACATTTACGTTTCAGCACCACTTATTTCCCGCGACGTTTCAAGCAAAACGGAGCCCATTTCCCTTTTCAGATCACTCCATTGTTGCGGGGCAGATAGGTAGCAACATTTGATGTAACTTCAGACCTCAGTGGCACTTTGGAAACCTAACTGTTCATTTGTAAGCCGCCAGGAGTTCACTGCACACATTCGCATAGCACTGAGGAACTTTATCCTGTCAAAAACGTCAGGACCCGATGGAATATCCGGCGAGTTATACAAGACATTTAAATCCTTACTGTATCTGTACTAATCGAGATTTCCGAGCGGAGTTTTATACTAGAGACGCTTCCTCGCTCTTTTACTGAAGGCAACGCTGTTTTCATCCCAAAATACTCAGAGAAAAAAAACTTCGTCGCGTTGACGGCTACCGATGAATTACATAACGCAACGTTCACTACAAGAGTTTTGCAAAGGTACTTTCAAACAGACATCAATTTGCAATGTCGATACTCATTGGTACCCATCAGACCTGTGGTCTATAAGTTCGCTCAATACAAACTAACATAGACGTTGCTCGCACAGTATTGAAACATTGTTCACACTCATATGAACAACTGGCATTACTACAACTAGACTTAGCGAAGCATTTGATCGGGTTCGCTATTCTTTTCTGTTTTCTGTTTTCAAACATGCCAACGCTGCCTCCACTATATTTAAAGGTGTGCAACTATGCTAAAATGAATCCTCAACCCGTTTATTAGTTAATGGCTGTCTTTCAAAGCCCGTCTTTTTCAACTCGTCCGTGAAACAGGGCTGTTTGTTGTCGCCAATGCTTTTTGTTCTTTACTTGTAACCTCTCTGCTGAAGTGAAATTCGATCTAGTAACGTCCGCTGTTTAAAGGCTTATTGGAATGAGGTAAAGGTATTGGCGTATGCGGATGACCTAGCGTTCCTTTTTACAGATATTTTCAGTATGCAAATGGTGGTGTCAACAATCAGGGGATTCGGAAAAGTTCCAGAGGCACGAATGAACTTTGCTAAAAGCTCGGGACTGTGGTTTGGCCCATGGACATATCAACCAACCCATTTCCAGAGTATATAATGATGTTATGCTCCGCCTGAATACCTAATCGTTTTACGAGATGCATAACGTTCAAATGCACATTATTGAAAAGTGTGTGTACCTGTCCTAAAACGCTATGCCCAGACGTTTATTCCTCATAACCTTTCTTTTTTTTGGCAGAGCTAAAGCATGCAACCTGTTTCTGGCAACAAAGATATCCTACGTTCTGCAAATTCTATGTTGTTCGAGGGTTTACATACAAAATTTAAACGTAGATTTGCAACTTTTATTTGGTAATGAACCTATGAACCAATGAGACGAGACAACAGTTTTAGACCTGTCTGTGTAGGGTGTTCTTGGGTTGGTACACCTCTTTATTAGACAACTGGTGTGGCGCTTTTCCTTTTTTCGTGACTATACTCCTCCGCTGCTTCAAATATTTTTGCAAGTGAATTTCGCAGATGTTTTATCAAACGTAGTCGTAATTACTAATTTCGCATCGCCTGCCTATATGTAAGGGTTTTTGCGTGAAGTATGCGAATCAGTGCGTTTGCTGACAGCCAAATTTTCCAATAAATACTTTTTTAAACTCAATAAAAGACCTATATTATGCTGTAATGAATGTGCTATTACCGGCCCCACTTTACCACCCACTATATTTTGGATTTTCTGGTCATGATGAGCTATTACGTGTGACAAAGATGCCTATTTCAGCAATCACCAAGACTTTTTTTTACAAAGAGCATACAGCAACAATACCTGTAAATACCTGGTTAAAGAACAAAGGCATACTTGTATCTTCAATCAACTGCCGTTTCTGTGAAGTTCCGGAAACAATGGAACACTACTTTTTCAGTTGTAAGGACGCGGTCCTTTTTGGGCCGTCTTGCACAGGGCTTTTAAACAACGACTGCATTTAAACTCTTATACCATCCGTTATCTTCTCCCACCCAAACGCAATGACATGCCAGTTGACATGCTGCTGTGTATGGGCGTGCATAGCTTGTAAAAAACTCGCAAGCTGAACAGGCTTGCGGAACCAATGGTGTCTTCTCTATGCCACTTTGTGGAAATGACTGTGTGGCTAAGGGAATTTTACGACCAACTGCAATTTTAGTCAGACTGGTATACCGAGTTCATGAAGTGTGCTACTCAAATGTCCATTTAGACTTTGTGTTGTGTGAGATTTACTTTGTAACGTCCATTGCACACTTTTCGACTTGACATTATGTATGTTGTACGCTATGCATATACGTAAGCTACATTTGTAATAAATACCAATATAAGAAAAAATAAACCGGCGTGGCCCAGTGGTAAAATACTGGGCAGGCACGCAGTGGACCTGGGTTCGAGCCCCACCGTATCATTGATACAAGGTTTTCTTTTTTAATTTCGAGTGATGTGGTTGCGGACACTGGCGGCGGCTGCGGCGGACAACTACAGCACTGCGCGTGACCCGAGTTGTGATCTCATAACAGCTTTCGCTGTAAAACTTCCATGTTAAACAGACCTGTTACTACGCCTTTCTATAAACATGAAGGGACAGAGAAGGAAAATTTGAAGGCTTTAAGTTTGTGTATATGAGGTCCTGCTTCGTTCCTAGTGATGGAGGTTTTTAATTTTCATCTTGTCCAAAGAAAAGAAGTGGCAGTAATGCAATGTTTTGGGATGGTATCTGCCCCACTGGAACACTTCTCGCATTTTGGGTGGGAATACCACGGTAAATAGTAAACACCCTTTTTTTACTTTCAAAGGCAGTTAGTCATGTTGCTTTCCATCACTTCACCGAATGTATAAACTTCGAAGAAATTGTTACACTTATATCAAGACCGCTTCCTTCGCTGTTGAATTTAGATTGTTTAAATGGACACAAAAGTAAGCAGGCTAAAATAAATATGAACCCTCATAATTAGTCATCAATTTTACGTATTTTCAAGTTCAGGATAAGTAAACAGGGAAGTGAGAAAACAAATAAAACATTACCAATGATTACAATAAAGCTATGTTATGCTAGCGACATGTGTATTACGCAATCGCTAAAAGAATAGCCAAGGTATACTTTGAAATAAAACTGAACTAGGCGCCATGTAGCTCTTGTAATATTCACAATAAATGGCTTATTTTAACGATGCATTGGACTAAAAGGTGATGTTCAAGCGTCATATAACGAAGATATTTAAAACAAAAGACATTCAGGCAGCTTCACACTACGACAAGAATGACTTTCTGCGCCTACCCAGTCAGAGCGTAGCCACTTGCAGCTAAGTTGTGTAAACTGCACATTTGGACCTAAACGCTGAATGTGAGATTGTCTAGGGAAAAAACAGGACGTCCTTGAAAGCTACATTTTCTTTTTAGAAGACGAAGCAAGACCTCGTAGAAACCAATACTGATGTCGTCATACTGCTTCAATGTCCGCTACGTCTATAGAAAATGCTTGCTAAGGCGTTCTCAGTGCTCTAAAAACTTCGAACACGACGATTCGTTGTTGGGTTTCCCCATTTCCGGCATGATTGTGTAAGGCGTGTATTACAAAACTAGCAATTCAATGTGAATTGGTCATTTCATGTAACGTTTGTTATTCTACTTTTGACAAAGTTAAGAAAGAATACGAGTGAGTGAGTAAAAACTTTAGTGAGAATGTCCGGTGCTATTTAGTGGGGTGGGGCTACAAGCACCCCAGCCTAGTTG